CCATTTGACCCAGCTATTCCATTACTAGGTATATACCCTAAGAAGTGAGAGCCATGACAAGAACAGATATATGCACACCTCTGGTAGCATAGTGCCTAAAGGCACTTGACTGCTAACCAGAAGGCTGGCAGTTCAAACCCACCAGCCACTCCTCGGAAGGAAGATGGGGCAATCTACTTCCATAGTGATACTGCCACGGAGGGGTCGCTATGAGTCGGGTCCGACTTGATGGCACATGACAACAACAACAACAACAGAAGAAAATGCAGGCCTTTAAGGCAGCCAAGGAATGGACAAGTGAGACTAGTAAGATTCCCAATAAAACTGGAAAGGGCATCAGGGATGCCTCACATGGGTGTAACATGTTCACTTTGTGCATCAGGAAACCTAGGCTCTAGCTGCTGTCCTGACTGGCTGTGACCTGAGTCCAGCAACTCAGCATCTGAGGCATCTTGTTCCTCATCTAGAACATGGCCTCACAAAAGTGGCTGCTGGCGGAGGGGAGGACCTGATTGGAAAGAGGGTGTGAGGGAAGTTACAGAGGTGATGGAATGCTCACCATCTGGTTTAGGGTGTATAACACTGTCAAAAACTCATCAAGCCAGATACTTAAGATCTGGGCATATCGTTGTGTGCTAACTATACTTTAACTGAAAATAAATAAACAGATTAAAAAAAAAAAATCTTCTGGCACCATTATTCTCTAACAACTCACCACAAGTCCCTCTTTATACAAAGGCCACATTCCTGGAGAGTTGAGGGGATACTGTACTTTTATAAAGTCATGAATAGTTTCCCAAAGCCCCAGTTTCAACTCAAAGACATTTATCTTCCTTTCAGACTTATCTTCAGGAGTTAATCTCCATATAATCACCTGGTCCAACATACTCCCAATGTTTTTTGTTATTTTTGTTAGGTAACCTCTAGCAGGTTCGGACTCACAGCAACCCTATATACAATAGAATGAAACTCTGCTCAGTCCTGCACCATCCTCATAATCTTTGCTACACTTGATCCTATTGTTGCAGCCACTATGTCAATCCATCTTGTTAAGTGTCTTCTCCTTTTTTGTTGACCCTCTACTTTACTAAGCGTGATATCCTTCTTCAGGGCTGGTTCCTTTTGACCAGAGGGCCAAAGTACATGAAGTGAAGTCTGGCCATTTTCACTTCAAAGGAGCATTCTGGCTGTACTTCTTCCAAGAGAGATTTGTTTGTTCTTCTCGCAGTCCTTGGTATTTTCAGTATTCTTGGTCAACACCACTATCCAAATGCGTCAATTCTTCTGCGGTCTTCCTTATTTATTGTCCAGCTTTCACGTGTATATGAGGCAATCAAAAATACATGGTTTGGGTTAGGTGCACCTCAGTCTTCAAAGTGACATCTTTGCCCAGTGCAATATGTTGTCTGATTTCTTGACTACTGTTTCCACGGGTGTTAATTGTGGATCCAAGTAAAATGAAATCTCTGACAACTTCAACGTTTTCTCCATTTATCATGATGTTGCTTACTAGTCCAGCTATGAGGATTTTTGTTTTCTTTATGTTGATGTGTAATCCATACTGAAAGTTATAGTCCTTGATCTGCATTAGTAAATGCTTTGAGTCTTCTTCATGTTCAGCAACCAAGGTTGTATCATTTGCATATCACAACTTATTAACGAGTCTTCCTCTAATTTGATACTCTGTTCTTCATATAGTCCAGCTACTTGGATTACTCCCAATATCATCAACAAATCAAGCATTTGTAAATAGCTATACCTTTGCCCAGACTCATAATCAGTGAACATTTTTACAGTGAAGACTGGTATTAATTATTAATTAATATATAATAATAATTATTAATAATAAATCCTACCACAACTACTAGTCACATTTATTAAGCACTTAACTGTGGACCACTCCTCGGAAGGAAGGTTGGGCAATCTACTTCTGTAGTGACACTGCCTCGGAAACCCAAGGAAGGGTCACTTTGAGTCGGGTCCGACTCGACGGCATATAACAACAACAACAACGTGGACCAAGCACTGTCTGAAAACTTTATGTGCATTATACCAATTAATCCCCACAACATCCCTATGGAATACAATCTATTATTCTCATCACAACATGAGCCATCATAAATTCCTCCCTCATGACTTTCCCTCCTGTGGTAGTTAAGATTGTTTGTCAGATTGGCTGGGCCATGGTTTTGAGTGGCTTGGTAGCTGGATGTAGTTATTCCCCATCATGAGAATGTAATCACCTCCATGGTGGAATCTGAAGGTGAGTTGCCTTTGGCATATGGCCTGTTTCCAGTATGAGGAGAAACTTTGAGAAGTGTTTCTGTCTTTTTGGCACATCTGGACCCCACATTTGGCTGAGTCTTCATCTCCTGGACTTGAACCGGTGGCTTGCCATGATGCCAATCTGGAATTGTGCCATTTTTACCTGTCGACCTTAGGTTCATCAGCCTCAGTAGCTAGCTGCTCCTGAGTTAGGAGATGCCTCCATCTCCAGTGGGCCTGGAACAAGAGGCAGAGCTGAAATCCAAGGTAAGTGGCCTTCACCCAGCCCCTAGAGCCAGCACTCTGAATCTGGACTTCTAGCCGCTTAAACTGTAAGAGAATAAATTCCTGTTTGTTAAAGTCATCCATTTGTGACATTTCTGCTATAGCAATACTAGAGAACCAAGAAACTTCCCTAAACACTTCATTATGCTTCTTGAGGAAATCTAGATGCCGGACTTTTCTCAAAACTCAGCTCAGCTGCTTTATGGTTCTCTGACTTCCTTCTCCTTGTCAATATCACCCATAAATATTTCTAAGAATGCAAAGAACTGGTGAGACATATGCCAGGCTGGTAAAAGCTGGGAACCAGGCCCTTGGCTGGCTGATTACCTGTTGTAAGATTGCTGGGCTGGGATAATTTTGTAAGGGATTTTTCAAGGAGTAAGATGGAACATGTTTTACTCAGAATCACAAAATTAGAAACTGCCTCAAGAGGTTATGCTTCAGCTATCCTCTCGTTTCAAGAATGGCCTGTACTGAGACCATCTGACTCAAACAGTTCCCCCATATGGTGCAATGAATTACTTAACATGGCTGTTCTAGCCATAATCTTTGTAACTCCCACCAAATGACTGATTACAACTGCGCAAATGCGAGGTGCTTGTGGCCCACCAAGAGGACCGGAGAACTTGCTAATAATATAAATGAGGTGCATGGCACCCTTGTGTGAGTATGAAACCCTAACAAGGGGATTGGCTGGTTTTACCATCCTACTAGGCTTAAAAGAGAGTCAGTTTCAAAGCAGAGAGCAGTCCTGACTACCACCAAGAAGAGACAGGAGTGGAACACAAGCTTTGGATCTGGAGTCCCTGTGCGGGAAACTTCCTCAGCCTAGGAGACAGAGAAAGCTGTAATCCCAGAGAGACAATGAGAAGCAGTGGAGAGAAATGGTGGCAGCTGAAGCAGCAGAACCACGAAACGATGGGAGATAGTGTGGTGGGCTTCCCTGCCTGTGGAGCAAGAAAGTTGACCATCTTCAGGTAGAGACTTGCTGGCAGAGTATGTGCCCTAGGACATGATGGAGCTGGGTTTGCAAACTCCTGGAGAAAAGCTGAGTGCCTTCAGGCCAAGCTTACTGGCACAGTGTGGTGCCTCTGGGAAATTATCAGCAGAGCTAAAAGAGCTCTGTAACACTGGAGCATAGTAGAGGCCAACAAAGACCAGAGAGACGCATGCCTTCAGGCACTGCAAAGAAGAGGCTGACCGAACTGAAGAATTGTATCCTGAGTCAATTTTTATCCTGAATTGTAACCTGTTACTTCCCTAATAAGCCCAATAATTCTAAATACTGCCAGTGAGTTTGTGTGGCCATTGCAATGAATTATCCAGGCCAGAAGTAAAGAGTTCATGGGAGAGATGGTTGTTGTTAAAACTGGTAAAAATGTTGGAGGGTGGAGGCATGTCTGACCTCCGCCTTATATGAATCAGCCTTGGGCTGTTGATAATGATCCTTCTCCCTCCTTGTGAAGTTAGAGGAGGTCAGTCACCACCCACATACCATTCTAACATTCCCTGTCACAGGTTCAAAGGAATCAGCA